CCCATTTCAAAGACATGGCAAAAGCCTTAAGAATTGCTCTCTACCCCCACCACACACCCCATCCCTTCTCATTATTAGAACGCAAGGGAAATACCCAGATCTTTAGGGATATGCTCACCTGTTAATGACACCTTTTAAGGTTCCCAAAAAGCTTCCAAATTCCAGCATCCTAGGGTAAATGTATTCGCTTCTACCCATAAACCCAACAGAATTAATTGGGACAGTGGAGAGGGCCAAAAGCGCTTCATTAGCTTGCAAATGCGGCTTCCAAGAATTTACCCGACAAAAAACCTCTGACGAGTTAGCGGACACGGCAGCCATTGAATCATGCATACATTGGAGAATAGATAGCCTTCATCCAACGGCCAGGAAATTCTGCACTACAGACTCTACCATACAAGTGACGACAGACTCCAAGTAAATCTTGTAACTATGTGTAGTAGTAGTTTATAGTGAAAGCTGGTAGTGGATAAATGGTTGAGATAATTGGTAAAAATTGAAGGAATTTAGCAGCAAGGCTATCATTTCGTTGGCAGAAAACTATATATGGGCTATTCCAGTTAGGGGGACATCATAATGCAGTTCTTCCAGAAAGTAACTGGTAACTCCGAGCCAGGGGGAGTGTAGCCAGTCTAGGGTGGGGAGGGCGAGTCACTTGACATGCGTGAAAAGCTGGAATGTTCGAGTTCACACTAGTTCGCTAAGTATGCCCCCTAACTGGAATAGACCCCTGTGTATTATATCTTGTGAAGGCCGTCGTCACTTGTGTTGTGAAGTCTGCAGTGGACACGCACCTCGCCGCTAGATACAAAGTGTATATGTTTTCCACCGAATGTTTTTACTTTCTAATGAATACTGTAACGACGAAGAAGGTGTATCAACTTTGATCGATATGGTCATGAGTGGCCGTTTGGCCTCCATTTAATATCGTAGGGGAATTTCAGTGCCGGCACGCTTCATGCATTAAGCAGCCATAATGTTGTACTAATTGCTGTTATCCAATCAGTCTCTCGATTTGCCGATTAGTTTGCGTCTTGCGAGTAAAAGACTATGAGTCGATTTGTTGAGGTGCTATACATATTTAAAAGCTCGAGCGGGCTTCTAGCCACTGCGCTTCACTCTGGCGGCTCACATGAGCCAAAGCTCTGCCACCTCGGCCATAATTCCACAGCTTTTCTCCAGTATTTACTCGCATTTCTCCGATTCATAAAGCAATCTTAGCAGAGATCGTAAGAACTAGTAGCGGTTGAAATTATTCATCAAAACGTTTTTTAATATTTCTTGCTTCTTGAAAAGCCTGTTGGTTGGAGGACTATTTGGAATGTCGTGAATCGTCAAAGGTATTTCTCAGAGTGAAATTGGTGTGGTTATTGCAACGAATGCGACTCGTGCTGGGAAAAGTGGGCCGGCAGGAAGAAAAAATATGTTGAAACGTCAAGTTGAGGCTCGCTCACCTTTCATTGCTGTGAAAAGCAGAGGCGACCAACCACAAAAGAGGGAAAGGAGAGTATGGCGGTGAGAAGAGCGCAACGATTCGGAGGCGCCAGACAGCCTGATGAGACGCAAAAAATGCAAACCACAGCAGCTTTTTTGCAGATCACTAGCCCTTGCTTTTCGGGGAATTCGCTATGAGCGAGATGGGCCCATTCTTGTGTTGTCTGTCGGGTTATCCGCAAGACAAAGGATCGTTCACGCCGACGTCTCCGTGTGCCTTTAGGTCACGAGAGATCAAAAATACTGAAGGCAGTAAGATAAATATTATACCCTAACAGGTCAATGTGAGGAAATAATGCAGCGACACCTTTCTTATGCCTCTTCTTGCCAGGACCCTGTAGATTCGATTATACGCTCGTAATTTTAGTTTTCCAGGTGTAAAGGACTTTGACGAAATTTTCCATCTCTCATGTCTGATGCCAGCAGAACCATTACGGGAGCTGCAAGCGTTTTGCTCTAGAACTGCATAATTGCGTCAATATTGTGCTGTTTTCCCATGTGCCTGCGTTGCTACGAAGAAAGACCTCAAAAATGAATTACTCGGAATGGTTGGTTCGACGCGAAAACAAAGGCAGCCTCCATGCGAGGCACTGCTATATAGAACATCCTCGCTGAAGCTGACCAGCCAATGAATACAGGCTCCTTGCTCAGTTTCCAGAATAGATGAAAAGGGGATGAACCAGGAAGGACTGAATAAGACATCCTTACCGTTATTGATATTCTTTAGTAGTAGTGATTTCCGTAGCATTTAGCAATACTGGAACCCGGGAGCTTTTTGGACAATTCCTGTGAGCCGGGACAGCAGATGTGGAGGTAAGTTGAGGGGGTTTTTTAGCAGAATTTGTGAAATATCGTGGAAGTAACGGTAGCAAATGTGAAAATCGGAATCGGATACAAAAATTTACTTAGGACGGCTAGATTTTGAAAATTTCGCAATTTTTTTTGACCCTCTGCCACATTAGCTTATACGCCCCCCCTTACTGTCCCCCTTGAATTGGCGATCTCTGTAAGATGGAGTAGGATATGGGGGATGAGGAACGCGTCAACGATGGATTCGCTGGAAGAACCCAGGGTAGAGTTGGAATAGGTTGTAAGTAACCGCTCATTGAGAAGTTGTATTTGAAACATTATAAATACGTAGTGGATGATGTATCGTTGCCTATTTTGAAAGGAATGTGGCCTATTCATTCCGGAAGTAAGCTCTCGCGGGCAATTTTTTCCCGTCAACGCTTTTTTGATTCTGTCTTTCAGTCAACTTCATTTCACATTCGTCGTCTGAGAATAATGAGCTGGGCGAATGACTCCTTTATTTGAAAGTGTTCTTGACGCTCGGTTTTTCACGCGCATTCTGGATAAAAGGATCGGAAAGCGTAATCTTTCCACTCGAAAGCATGTACTAATAAGGCTGACTCACTCATTCCCTTGATCGGTTTTCTCTCGTTTATGTGTTCGCTGCATATTCATGTTTCTCCATATCTTGTAGAGCTTAACGCAGAAGCTTTATTGGGCTAAGAAGGAATGCTCCCTTCTGAAAAAGTTGGCCACACAAACTTATCTGAGACGCTATTTTTGGCAAACACATAGATTGTTGAAGCTGAATTGTTGCAATACAGCAAAAGAAACAGTAAAAACAAGACAACAATGAAAATCACACCTTTCGAGATTACGCCGCGCGTTTGACTTCCGGTCAAGATCATAGTGGCTTTTTAAGGCAATGTTGCCCATGCAGTAGCCATTGGAGCGTAGTAATTTTCATTCTCAAAGCTCGTTTCTGTATCCATTGATCTGTCACAAGGAGACAGGCTCTGTTGCCTCGTGATATTCCATTCCGGAACTTGATCTCTGACGCGAGCACTCAGCAAGTGGCCCTTGCGCTCCCCATGCTGAATCAGCTGTGATTAGGCAAAGATCGCTGGCTTTGTGTGATATTACCAAAATTAAAATAATGAGTTCCATGAATTCCGCTTGAAAAGTTTGAACTCTCCTTCTCCTCGAATACAGCCAGCAAGATCCCTTGAGACTTTGCTAAGTACCTTTGGAATAGGGAGGGTTCAAATACACCTAACCATGGAAACTTCGAGCACCCTTTCCTGCCTCTCAAGGTTCGTCTTTGTATGAACCTGAAACGAGTAATTGTCGCTTTTTCTACGACAATATTAGGCTCAGCATGAATTCGCAGTGAGCCGGCCAGATTGTATGAAAGTTGAGTGCACGGCCCACTCTCAAATGGATTTCGGATATCCTTGAAACATTTTTACCAGAAAAATAAGCTTTTTTATGAGTTTTTCAAATAATTACTTTCAGGAGAGCAAAGTCGTTTCTTCAAAATCTTCGAGTCTCAAGGAGCAAGGTAAATCTAGCCATTTCCATTCTAGGATCTTACAATAGCTCTTTTTACAGCAAAATCTTTGGCGGACAAGAAGAAACTGCGGAGAGGCAAGCGACAAGTGCTTTTCGAGGATGCGATTAGCCCAAATGATGACGAGGACGAGTTCACAGAGGAAGACGCAATTCGACAGCAACTGCAACGTATGTCTTTCTCACTACCGTATCCCTTACCGTAACCATTTTCTGGCCATCCAGACATCTCATACATCACTGGGATGTGGCTTTTTGGTATCTAGACTGCACGAGGTTGTTACTGAACCCTTTAATGGCTAATGGCTTTCCGGTGGAATCGTCTTTTTCGTGGGCTGTAGGGTCAAAAATCAAATTAGGCTTCGAAATGCTCTCCCTTTTTTGCACCTTTTTTTCCTGATAGCGCACTGATTCTTCCCGAACCTCCATGTGAAGGACTTTCTGGGAACACACGCTCATTTATACTCTAATTACGAATTCTTGAGAAGCCGTATTGAGAACTGCTTGATGAAGATATTGTCAGAGGGGATTATCGAACTTTTTGAGCTCTCCGTGACTCAGCCCTTAACGCATGTTAGGTTCACAAATGCTGAAATATATGAACGAAGGGATAGCGTTAGCCCATTACTGTGAAGCGGAACTGAAGCAGAAGCTGCTTGACCAAAACAACCCTGGCTGCATACAAAATGACCCACACCTCCTCGAGCTAGCACTAATTGTTTTTCAACTAGAACACAGAGGTTCCCTCTCCCAGAAGTATCGGAAGCTCTGTGTTTCAGTAGGGTGTGCCAATATTACTTGCTCGAGTACGCCCTGTTGTAAAAACGGTCAAGCAGTAGATTTCCTTGAGCTCAAGAACAGGTCTTCCAAGCTTGAGAGGGGTTGATGATGATTCATTACCGGATGTCCAGTTACAAAAAGTGGCACGCCAAGTACAAAGCAAATTCCCGATAAGTACGAAAAAAGACAAGAAAACAGCCAGATAAGGGGCCGCGAGGGAAGGTAGTGGATAGTCAGAGCAGAAGGGCAATGGCCGCCAACACTGCAAAGTCCTGAAGGTGATTGAGAGCAGTAGGTCCCCCCCCCCCAATTTAGCCAAGAGCCGACTTCCAGAAGGTTCGAAAGGGAAAAAGTGACCAACAGAACGCAACCACAACAACAAAACGAGAAATATCCGCTATGAAAGCAACAATTCAGTACTGTATACCTCAT